ACAGCATAATGGGTTTCCTTTTGGCATATTCATAGATCCACATGTCCAAGGCCAGTGCACCAACACACTGGCTGCCACGGCCACACTGTGGGTGATGGGTGTGTCCAAGAAGTGAATCTACAGGAAGTTTCTGCTTTAAATAATAGATATAGATATAGATATAGATATAGATATAGCTTAAAAGTGTGAGGAATTCCCAGGTCAACTATTGACCAGTAACCAGAAGCGAGACGATTGAAATACTGAAACATGGAAACCACTTAGCCTATGAGGGCATTTGCAAGTATTCAACCTGTGACTTTCACTTTGCTAGCCACACAGGGCAAAAGAGTCAGAAATGAAAATTCAGGGCCTGCCCCAGATGGAGCCTTAGAGAAGAATCTCTTCACAGGAAGGTGAGACATGCCAAGGGGTTGACCCTTCCGTCTGATGTGAAATGAACCTGCTGCACAGCTCATACCACTAGTCCTAGAGAACATCAGGAAAAGCGTGGTGCTGAGTGCTGAGTAGAACAGTTGAAGGGAAAGGCACGGGGATTTTTTTTTTTTCCTTTGGTGGTACAGGGGATTGAACCCTTTGCACTGAGCTACATTCCCAGCCTACTTATTTATTCCGAGACGAGGTCTCACTCAATCACTAATTTCCCCAGGCTGAGTTGGAATTTACAAATCTACTGCCTCAACCTCTCAAAGTCCTGGGATTACAAGTGTGAACCACTATGCCCAGTTTGGGGGATTGTTTTTAAAGCTCTTTCTTAAGAAGTTGTGATCATGGATGAATCCTCTGTAGCCCAGGGAGTACAGCCTTGTAGATCAAGAAATCTCAAACTGTAAACTGGCAACCTTGTTCTCATGATAACTGTTTGGGTATGCCCCACACTTGTGGCAAAAAACAAGCAAAACCTCTTTAGAGAAGGGCACATCTATCAGATAATTAATTACCTCAAATAGTTTTTTGTTTTTTTTTTTTAAGCAGGGATCAAACTCAGGACCTTGTACTTGCAAAGCAGGCAACAAAATTACTGGGCTAAGTCCCTGGCCTTTGTTTGTTTGTTTTGAGACAGGGTCTCACCTTGTAGTTCAGGCTGGCTTTGAACTCACAGCAGTCCTCCTGCCTCAGCTTCCTGAGTGCAGGGATTATAGGTGTGCGCCAGAAGCCAAAAACGCCATAACTGTGAGTGCCACGAGCACAGCTCCTCCAGGATAAAGTGCCCAGTACCTGGAAATCAACAACCTAAAGCCCCCACAAAAAGGGACAGAGAAGAAGAAGAAAATAGGATCCTTTGCTATAGAAGAGATAGATTAATCACACAGACAGACGAACACTCAACCCAGAGAATCTGAGCTGTACCCATCCTGGAGGGGATCCTCAAAACCAACTCGGCCGCTCACTGAGAAACAGAGACCAGACCTGAATCTGGGGAGCCTTGTACAACCAGAGGCAGCGGCAGAAACAGGGAGAAAATATTCCCCGAAGGAGAATTCCAGCCACCGTTTTGGGCAGAGGTGCAAACAGGTGTGCACCATCACCTCTGCCCACCACAGATAATCTTTCAAGGGAAGACTGGCACACACAGTCACTGGTAACTAGGCTCCCGAGAGAGCAGGAAGAAAATCAAATCAATGTGGATTTCAGATATTATATCTCACAGACATAGGTTTAAAAATAATGCATACAAAATGTAAATCTAGAAAAGAGCTAAAAGGAAAGAGGAAGGTTTCTTTCTTTCTTTCTTTTTTTTTTTTTCAGTACTGGTGATTGAACTCAGGGCCTTTGCACTGAACTACATCTCATCCCTCTTTAAAAAGTTCTTGAGACAGACACTAAGTCACTAAATAAACCACCCAGGCTGGGCTCAAATTTACCATCCTCCTGCCTCAGCCTCCCACAGTGCTGGGATTGATTATAAGTTGCACCACTATGCTTAGCAGAAACTGTTTTTAAATTATGGCAAATGTGAAAAGAATCCAAACAGAACTTTTAGAAATGTGCCCCACTCCTTGCATAGAGAATTGGATATAACTCTTGATGTTTGGCCCTGCACTGGGAATGTTTAGAAATTATTTAGTTTAGCAAGTTCCTCCCATAAGCTATCATTTGCTAAGCCTTCATCATACAGAGGAATACATTTTTGCACCAAGAGCCTCCCAGGTTACTAGGAGTAAAGAGCTGCCATGATGCGAACGCTGTTGCCTGGTGACCCTTTTATTTTACATAACACTTGGGTCCTTCAGGATAGGCCGGTTTATTCATCTTTGTCTAAAGAAATAAAATTCACTTAAAGAGCATCTGTAGATAGCTTATTGTGTACCAGAGATTGTTTCCTGAGTGCCCCTGTTTCAGAGAGAGGATCTTGATATATAGCTCAGGCTGGATTTTTTTTTTTTTTTTGTACTGGGTATGGGACTTGAGACTTTGTGCTTGCAATACAGGCAGTGGTGGAACCACTGAGCTAAATCCCTGGCCCCAAGTTCAGGATGGTTTTGAATTCACTTTTAGCCTAGACTGGCCTCAAATCACAGTGATCCTCCTGCCTCAGCCTCCCAAATGCTAGTATTACAGGCTTGTGCCACTATGCCTGGCTCCCTGCCATTTTGTACCCCCAAAATGAATGTCGATTCCTCCCTCATGCATTGCTAATCAGGTGTTCTATCACCGTGCTACATTCCCAGTTCAACTGCTGTTTTTGTTTCATGCTGGAGATGAATCAAGCGTTACATAAATGCTAGTCTCTACCACTGAGCTACACCCCAGCCCGAGTACTTTGTTATTAAACTTTTATTTTTTGTTTTTATTGTTTTGTTTTTGTATGTTTCTTCACTCTCATAGCAACCCTATGATACAGGTATTATAAACATGTCTATTTATCCTATGGGAAACTGAGGCACCAAGAAGCAAAGTAACTTATTTGAAATGATATAAGGGATGGGCCAGGCTTCCCACTAGAGTTTCTGATCTTAACCACTATCTTAGTTTGCTAGGGCTACCGGAACCCAGGAGTGGGGTGACACACCTGTGATCCCAGCACTCCAGAAGGTCCTGTGACTGAATTCAAAGCCAGCCTGGGCTATATAGAGAGAGCTTGTCTCAAAACAAGACAAAATAAAAACACCCCAAACAAACAAACAACCTCCCCCAAACAACTGGGAGTCTGGTTTAAGGTCTTCATGTTTCTCTTCTCACGTAGAAAACTTAACTTTTCTGAGGTAGCTGAACGCTCATTGTGGAGTCAGATGCAAGACATTTCTCAAACTTTACCTCTTCCCTACCTGGCTCAGTGCCTGGAATGACTGTATTACTTCACTTCAGAAATCTGTAAGTTGTGATTGGCCACCAGGTTCAGGGCCAACCAGGTGGCCCCAAGGGAATGGGACATGGGACTGGTAAGATTTTCATGGAGGATGAGACAGCAGTAAAGAATGGAAAGTTTGTAGCAAGGGGCAGCCTGACTGGAGAGCCTGTTGCTGGGGCTCTACACCCCTGAATGCTCCACTCAGCTGTCCCATCTGTCAAGCCGTTATCCAAGCATTTCCCAGGCTGCCTCTTTGCCCATATCTTTACCTGATTTCATAACCTCGGCTGCCCCTCTACGGTCCTTGTTTATTTATTTATTTATTTATTTATTTATTTATTTATTTATTTAGTGGTACCAGGGATTGAACTTGGGACCTTGTGGCAGAACCACTGAGCCAAATCCCCCCCGCCTCGTTAAAAAAGTAATGCTTTTAAAATGGTGTACTGAAGGAAGTTATATTTGCAGAAGAGGTGAGGCCAGTGGATCAATGAGAATGTTAACCTAAGGAAGAGGGGCAGGGAGATGAGGGCCTTAGAGTCAGGTGGACCCTGGGTCTCCAAGATTCCCAGGAAGGAAGTGGGATGTGGGAGTCTGGGAAAGACTGGGTTGGGTGGATTTGCTCAGCGCTTACACACAAGGGGGGATGATGGCTCAGTGGTAGCAGTGGAGAGCACAAGGGTGGTATTCAAGGCGGGATGGGGAGTTCACGGGTAGAGCTGGGCCTTGAAGGGGTGAACAGGCAGAGGGTTGTGAGGCAATTCATCAGAACGGTGGTGGGCAGTGTTCCACAAGGGGAGAGGAGTGGGAATGAAAAAGCTTTTGAGCACTGGGGTACTAATGGTCAAACCCAGGGGATTGTGCAAGCTAGGCAAGCACTCTACCACTGAGCTACATTTCTGGCCCTTTTAAAATTTTTCATTTAGAGGGCTGGGGATTTAGCTCAGTGGTGCCACTGCCTGCCTCACAAGAGCAAGGTATCAAGTTCGATCCCTGGTACCCCCAAAAATTATTTTTTCATATAGAAACGGAGTTGTTCAGGCTGGGCTCGATCTTGAGATCTTCCTGCCTTAGCCTCCTGAGTAGCTGGGATTGTAGATATGTGCCACCATATTCAACCTTCAACTTTTAAAATATTTGAGCTGTTCTACATTTACTTATATAAGAAATTGAAAATTAAGGGTTTCATTGATTATTCTTTTGGCTAAGGCTAAAACAAATTATGTAAAAACAATATTTGGAGTCAAATCCATGGCGTCCCGGCATACGGTAAAAGGCCATGATAATGAGAGAGCCATTGTTGATGGTGCCTCTCTGCTTTCCATGCCTATGTTTCCCCCTCAGTTCTTCCTTGTTGCCTATGGGTCCTCTTTTGGAACCCCTATCACTCATTGTAATTAATTTTTATTTGCTTGTTTATTTGTGGTATGGGGAATCGAACTCGGGTCCTTGAGCTTGCGAGGCAGGTGGCGGCACCATTGAGCTAGATCGCCCGCCCCTAAATAAAATTTAAAGATTGAATGAATGTCTTCCCACATGCCCAACTCCATGGGAAGGGCCACTGAATTTCTAGAGCTATGGTAGGACTCGGGTGCCTGTAGCTCTCAGTAAGCAGCTGATGGCGCATGAATGAAGATGCAAGAAAGGTGTAGGAGTGTTTCTTGGGGGGCGGAGCAGGGTCCTCTGAGACCGAGATGGGGTCCCTATGAAGCTGGGCTGGAAGCGGCTGAGGTGGGTTTGGGGGTTTATGTGAGAGAACAGGGGTCCTGAGAGGCAGGGATGGGAAGTCCACGTTAGGGTAAAAGGCCAAAAGGTGTTAATAACAACAGGGGATCGAAACCAGGCAGAGATGGGTGTCACGTAAGGAGAGACCAGTGCTCCCAACAGGCAAAGGTGAAAGCTACTGTGGATGGGGAGAAAGGAAGTCATTGACAAGGGGTGGAATCTGTGTTGCACTGTTGGTGTAGGGGAGGCTGTGACACTGCTAAGCTTGGGTGAGGAAGGAATGGGGGTTGATGCTGTAAGGCTGGGGTCTCAGACACACTGAGGGTGGGGAAGACTTGGGTCGGAGTTGGCGATCAGGTCTGGAGAGAGGACGGCGGTGCAGATAACGGGTGGGAGCCGTGCGTGCGGCGGATATGGGTCCGTGTAGAGTTGGAGATTCGGGTGAGGTGGGAATGAGGTTCCACAAGCGCCAGCGACTGACTGGGTCATGGAAGCAGGGC